CCAGAGATTAGAATGGCCCCCAGTTTAATACTCTTCCAGAAGGCACTGAAGACCTGGTTCTGCCAGTGGGCCTGGGGAACCCAGAGTGGGATGAAGCCCATTAAATGGCACGTGTGATCTGCTATCGCTGGGCAAGGGGGTGGGAGGTATGGGGGTGATTTTGTTATATTGTACTATATTAATTTATTTGATTCTTTTTGTTAGGTTTTTTTATTGTTTTAAATGTGGTTTTATACTCTACAAGCCACCTTGGGTCACCACGGGAGAATTGGCGCAATATAAATTGAATGAATGAATGAATGAATGAATGAATAAGCATTTAACAATGCTGATTAATGGGACCCTATTCCTTTAAGATTACCTGATCATTTTAATATCTGGGAGAAAAAAATAGCCTACTATTTGCTTGCTTAACAATGACGAAAACATTCTTCCCACAGAACTGAGTTAATTGACGCTTGTTTAACAAATGTTCAAGACTAAATGAGTACTCCTGAATGAAATGAAATGAAGCAGAGAAGGTTCTTCTTTATTTTACGGTGCATTATACTTTTGTGCCTGTGTGAGCATAATAGAGTTTTGATCTAATTCTGTGGCAGCCTGCATTATCCAAGTCTGATTAACCTTGATTTCCTAAAAACTGTCAGAATACCAAGGTTATAGCTAAGTTAATTATATTTTTACAGGTCTACCTAGACAAACCCCTGGATAATATGAAACATTAGCTGAGCTGTAATAATGTCAGAATCATGGAATGGCATTCTAAGTTAATGAATGATTGAAATAATGTAAATTAAGCCCAGTTTAAATGTATTACTGCCCTACATACAATCAAGTAAACACATATCATTTTCAGCTCCATTTTGCGATTTGAAAATGGACTATTTAAAGGTGTATTTGTGTCCAATTTTCTCTCATGTGCACATTATTGTATATAACTTTGTAACGAGAATTTCACAACTAGGGGGACTTTCACTGCACACAGTTTTATCACAGTTCATACTTAATATAAATAATACATATATGCTGATTTTCAATTTTGTGGAGCTTTACAGCATTGAAATATGCAAACCATCAAGTAAGAGTAATCACCTTCAAATCCAACGTGACTTTAAGTAATTTGCTTGGGTGTACATATGCAATTTTCTTGTCATAATGCAAATCTGATTGTTCTTTTCTGGATTTTCTTTTACTTTCTAATTTAAATTACAATTTTTGGGGTTTCTGGATGATCTCATATCCACATAGCAGCCAAAGCAGACCCTCCTGGGCTTTACAGACCAGCCAGTCAGCTAATTTCTGCCACATTTTGATGGAAACCTCTCTAACTTTTTTTTAACTGTTTTTATTTGGAGACCACTTTCAGTTTTCTTGCTTCAGAAAGATAAAAATGAAAATTTGATTCTAGTATTTGATGCTTAGATCTGTTATGATACTAGAAATATTGTGTATTTTATTGTTATTATTTGACACGTATATATTTGTTTATGTTTAAATTTACTAAGAGGTTGTAGTTGTAGTGTTATTGTACTAACAAAAGTCTGTATAGTCAAGGCTATGGTTTTCCAAGTTGCAATGTATGGCTATGAAAGTTGGACCATAAAAAAAGTTGAGCACCAAAGAATCGAAGCCTTTGAACTATGGTGCTGGAGANGGTTGCCTATTTTTAAAGCAATTTATTTAAATATCTTTTTCAAAAAAAAACTTGTGATAAATTATGTTTACAAATTTCAGGATTGGATGTATGTATTAAAACTGTATTATGCTCTCAATAGTTTTTTTGGATTGCTTGAATGTGCTACAGTAAGACTTCAACTTCTATAAGAAGCTCATGCAAGATTAGTTCTAGCAATAAGAACTCACCCTAACTCATCCTTGTTTGTAATTATAATTCATAAAATAAACAAAAGCATCCTAATTTATTCCCCTCATGCTACACAAACACACACACACCAAAAAAAACTATTGAGAGCATAATACAGTTTTAATACATACATCCAATCCTGAAATTTGTAAACATAATTTATCACAAGTTTTTTTTTGAAAAAGATATTTAAATAAATTGCTTTAAAAATAGGCAACCACTTCTAGAATAATGCTGAAATAAAATCTTCATTTCTCCAAACGTTTCCCAAACCTAAGAACAGCTTCGTAAGTTAAGAATATCATCATATTTGTAGGAAACGCACGAAGCGAGTTTAGCCCAAGGCCTTTAAAAAGAACTCGTACTCCTCCTTCCCTTATGCTGTCTTTGACACAGTGCATTAGTCCAGTATATTTACGCTGCCCATCACCATCTGCTTGCATTCGGGCTTTAATAACATCCATTGGGGTTGCTGTACCCCAGGCAAGAACACCAGCACAGCCTCCAGATAGAAGCACAGCCCACAGGTCTATGAACGTAAGTATAAATAGCGTAATGTCAGAGTTTGTTGCGGCAATCAAATCCAGAAAGCACACACAGGTAACTGATTCAGCAGGATTCATTAACTTCTCTTTATATACATAATAACACATGAAGTAATACATACAAGTGGTTCTTCCAATGTGGTAAAGAGAAGAGATTGGTTTCAGTTCCAGCAGCAGACTAGTTTGCAGTAATGCAGAACTAAGCCATGCCCAGCAGAGGTGGGTTGCCCATTTTTTTTTACTACTGGTTATGGCGTGCTACACTTCTGCACATGTGCAGAAGCATCCAGGCAGGTGGGTGGAGCCTCCTGCCGCCGCTACTATCAGTTCAGCCGATCTGGGCCAAACTGGCAGCAACCCACATCTAACGCCCAAGCTCCAAAGTATTTCAGCTCCCATTGGCTGAGCTTGTTGCTATGCCTTATTCCAGTTCATGAATATACTCTGACACATAACTTATCATTAATACTCCAAAATTATTAAAAATCCAAATGTTGGTAAAAGAAATGTCCAAAACTTTCTATTAACATTAGTATAAGTTTCTCAGAGAAAGCCATTTTTCCCACTTAACATAGGAGGGTTGCTTATATTGGTTGAAAATAAAGTAGTCAAGTGTGACAAGTTTTTTGTTTTTGTTTTTTATCTTTTTTGAGAGGATGATATTAAACTCAGTGTCATCTTCCTTTGAGTAAACAAAGCATTATGTAAATTAATATAATCCTCATAAAATATCACTTTAGGGCAAAACGTGAGCCACTGTGTCTTTTTCCAAGCAAAGAGAAGACCTTCAATCCTTATTACCAAATCAAATTCCATCTAACACACACAGACACATGTACACACATGAAATGTGTGACTACAGAATTTGATGATAGTAGCCTGATATGGCTGTCAAAAAGAAATTAAACAAATTCATGGAGGATATCAGACATTTTTCAAGGGCATGTGGCTGGCCTCTTTGGATTCTGGATATTGGGACAGACCCAGTGGTGGGTTCCAGATCCCATTCCAATTGGTAAGGTTGGAATGGGCCCAGCAGCATCCACATGGACATGCACAGTGCACGTGCACATGTGCATAGTGTGCAGCACATGTGTCTTAGCACCTCTGCAATGCTCCAGCTGCTCAGCAGAGTGTCACGCAGGCACTGTACACGCCGTGCGCAGAAGCGCCAAAGACTTAAAAGACCAGTAAGGAGTTCGGGCGGGTGGGCCCTCCGGAGC